TACTAGTATTTCTCATCATATGTAAAAAGAAAAATCGATGAATTTCACAAATCTTACTCTCTGCATTATTCAAATTTACTTTTAGTTATTTTTATTAATAAAGAAAAGATGATATATAAAATGATATACAAGATAGACTTAGAATCATTGTAAAGATTAGATAAAACATAATTGATTTAATTCATAATTCAAACAATCATCTGCTTGACATAAAAAACACATCTTCAATCACAAACATATTTCATTAGAAAAACGATATACATATAAAAATTGGTTATTTGATTCCACTTCACTTCTTTGATATAGTTAAAGTTAATGTATTTTACAACTCATGGCTATGGGGAAAATAGAATTAGATTGTTGACAATACTCTTACAGAAATAATGTCTGAAGAAAGGTCTTTCGTATATGTGATGACATCCATAATAGAAACCATCTGGCAATAAGACATACAATAATAAAAACCTGAATAAAACAAAGAAAAAGTATAAGAAATTTTGTCTTAACACAGTAGATGTAATATATAATAAGTCAGATTAATCAATCAATTTGTTTTAGACATTAGCATATTATTTAAGCAATAAATTATCTTAGAATGAGAACCAAAGATTATCTTCAATAACATAGAAGAATTCGATGAGATACAAAAAAAAAAGCATGTTTCATTAGGTCAGATTACAGTTATGATTATGAAAAATTTAGATTATTAATCATCATGTAATATGATGTACACAATCCTTCAGCATTAGGCGGTTATTTTCAATTAAATATTAATTTGAAAAGCTTTTTTTTCTTCATTCACTCGAATACCAACCTTTCATTAATGAGAAGTGTTAATAAAATGAAAGAGACTGAATAAATATATTCTATTAACTAAACTTGAAAAAAAGAATTTTTATTTATTTTTTTGAATCATGATAATGAATGTCTTCGTTGGCAGAAGCCATCTATGTCAATATATGACTCTCTCTTAATTTATGGTTTCTATTGAACTATACAATTGTCATCATTGTTATTCTATCGATAAATCAGCGTCTTTGTGTAAGTTATATATGGCGTTCTTTTTCTTTGTTGTGAAAAGGGCACAAACAGAAATATAAAAAAAAAAAAGGGAGAGAGAAAAGCTGATCAAATACAATTCAAATTCATTTTCAATCGTTTTTTCTCTTTTCTATCTAATCAATTTAATGAAGCTTACATATCTCTAGACGAACGAACATACAAATAACGTTGTACGTGCGTGTGAAGAGACATGATCCTAATTATAAATAAATCAAGGCGGAGATTGTGCGTCAATAATAAAACTCTTCGTTCTTTTTTTTTTTTTTTCATTTACTCATTTAATTCCAAAAGTTCAAGTACATGTTATAAAAAAAACGAAATTGTATCAGCAAGTGAATGAATCACAATAATTAATCAATCAGGTGAATACAATGACCTTTACATGAAAATATTTTTTTTTTTATTAATCTTCATGAGTAAATAATCAAATTGTTGTATTCATTTCAATTCACCTGTTATCATTCCAAAATACATATGAGTAAGTGAAAAAAAAAAAGGAAAATAATTGAGATACATGTATATAGAAAGCGCACATTGAAGAACAGAAAAAAAAAACTAACCCCTTCCATATTCGTACATGAAGATTGAAGTAAGAGTACATCATCTTCATACTTCTCTTGTCTCCAGTGCCTTGTTATCTTATTAGTTTGACGCGTGCACGCGTAGTGTTTCCCATAAATCACACTCTCATATATACATACATACACTGATGGCAGATTGGGTTGGGTATACGTATACACACTTGCTTGCTCTTGTCTATCTCTCGTCATGCGTCTCCATCATTTTTATAGGTCCCAATCATCAGTCGACCATCTGGCTAGAGACTCATCATCCTTGTGTGTGTATGTTTGTGTTTATCTAATGAAAGTTTCCTATCATCATTGTCGATGAGAAGTGAGAAATTCTTCTTTTTCTTTTTAATCACATCTATATTTCTCTGTCAATTGTAACTATATGATTAATTTCTGACGTGCTAGCGAAAACAAATATTCCCATACACGTTATTATATGTTTACACAACGATTGAATACCAGTGAATGAAGATTAGAACACCCGAACTAAATCTGAACATTAACATTTCGTACAGATTTATTCATATTAATCCTTCTTCATTGTTCTTTATCTCGTTTATAAGGTGTCTTCATTTTTACGTTAGATTTTCTTTATCATTGTCATTTTACTATCAAATCGCTTCTGTCATCAATATGGTTGGTCGTTCGGTAAGCCTCTTTTTTAATATCATTTATGTAAATAGCACATCCGGCAAAGATATAGAAAGTATTGTCATAAGAGTTGCTGATTAGGTGATGATCAAAGAGAAAAATAAGCGAAAGATAGAAGAGAGTTGTAAATTGATTCGAGAGTACTTGTTGTTTCTTCTTGCAAGTTGCAAATTGATGATAGCCGAAGGCAAAAAAAAAGCGGCGAACGAACAGAATTATCTACTGCTACTGCTATGTATAAGTTATAGGTGTTAGATGAGACATATGGTTTGGAGATAGAAAATTATTAGTTCAAGTATGAAAAATAATGACTTGTCAAAGAAAATTTTTCTTATCAAAGAAAGCGGTTAGCTATTTTTTTTTTTTCTATATGTATCGCGATAGCAATATGACAGTTGTAAAGAATAACAACAAATAAGCGCGAAACATTATATCATTTGTTTGTTCTTTGTTGTTTCAATTGATCGATCTTTTTTTTTTTTGTTCGTATTTTGTTTTGTTCATTTATCAAATATCATTTTCTCGATTTGATATAAACAAAAAATGGTTAAACAAAATTCTTCAAAAAAATCAAAACAATCACATAAAACAAATCACAAAAGTGAACATACTGATAAAGGCAAACAAAGTGCTGGTAAAAGACAACCAAGTGGTTATCTTATGTTTTGTGCTGAACAACGAGAACTTCGAAAAAATGATTTTGAAAAAATGAAACCAAAAGAAATCATGCAACTTTTAGGAGCTGAATGGCGAAAATTATCTCCACAACAACAAGAAGCTTATAAAGCTAAAGCTCCTATTAAAGTACATCATGATGTATCTAATAAAGAAGAATCAAAATCACAAAAAACTCAGCAAACACATACGAAAAGTGCTGCTCATCATCATTCTGATACAAAATCAAAAAGCAATACAGTTCATAATACTTGTACTAAAAGTGCTTCAAAAAAGAAGACTAATACAAAGAAAATAAAACATACAAATGAAAAATCAGCCAGTCGCAAATTAACTCATAATCATCATGAAGATAACCATGAAAATGATGTTAGTTCATCACAATAAATTAACATAACGAAAAAAAGAGACAATAAAAATAAATTGTTACTTTTTTCCTATTTAATATTAATACGAATTTTCTTTTTGAAAGTATAAAATGAATAAAAATCAGTTTTATTAAAAGTTAATTTTTTGTTAGGAGAGTATATTACAATGCTCTTCAGTTTTTTTTAATAATGTAGTAGACAATCCGATTAGTCACATTCATTGACTCACTCTGTAGTCTACCGGTCGTTCGTGCATATATTATTCTGCTTCGAGCATATGTGAATCAAGAAAAATAATTGACTTTTTGCCCTATGACTGTTACTTTTCTTGCTATAAAACAAAGAAAACTTAGTGTACTAGTTCCATTGGGACAATGGACATTTATAATCGTTGTTAAACATGCGACATACACGAAGCTTTTAGTAAAATGAGGTCGTGCTCTTGTTATATCGAACTAAGTAAACACATGTTAGAATTTGCACAACAAGAAACCGAGAAAGGAATAAAAAGATAGTAAGAACGCTTCTTTGTCGTTTTCTTCTTCTTCTTGTTTTTCTTCTTTTTTTTTTATGGTATAGAAGGAAGAGCTCTTCCGTTGTTCTCGATTGGTGCTTGTCACCGATTGGATGTAAGCATCTAAAACTATTCTTTTTTTCTCGTTTTTTTGTACGCTCTTTCTGTTTCGTCATCGACACAATATTCTATAGTATTAGTAAACCAAAGAGGAAGAAAAAAAAAGAAAAAAAAATATGTGAGCGTCAGAAACGACGATCGCAGTAAAAAAAAGCAGCATCAGCAGTAGCAATAGGAGAATTAAAACGGCATCGTAGAGCTACGAAAGAGACGAGTGTATGTTTTTTTTTGTTTCATCATGTCAGGCGTAACTAATATTAGTGATACTAATTTTACCGATATATCGAGCAAAACAACGGAAAGACTTGTATACAATCATCCAGTATTGAATACCGGAGCAAAAAATGTAAGTAAAAGTATAAGATAGATTAAAATTCTATAAGTCAAAAACAAAAAATATTAATAAAAATTAAGTTCATTTGAGTTATTATACTGATAAGATGAGACAAGGCTAATTTTTCATATATATATATATATATATGAAAAATGTGTTTATCTATCAATTGAAAGAGAAGACCGAGCAATGAATCAATCATTAGATTTAGTTCTTCCTTCAATCGGATCATAATTATTTATTGAAGTAGTGAATCGTTATGTGTTGTATGAGTCTCAAGTATGCCCTTTCGAGTAGTGTATCGATTCATGTACATATATACATATATATACCTGTATTAGAATGAGTCGATCTAATTTCACTGTCTAAACAAACTCAGTGAGTAGAAAAAAAAGAGGGAACAAGACTAACCAGTTGAATCGCAGGCACATGTGATTTTTTTTTGCTCTCTCTCTCCTCGGGCAAAAGAATATTGTATGTTTGTTTTTCTACCTCGTTGCTCTATGGATGCCGCCGTCACATCCATCATGCATGATGATGACTTGAATAAAACATACCGATTGTAAATCATTTCTACTTAATTTGTTTCGTGTGGAAATGTGTAGTATGAATTGATTCCATGTCCGACTTAGTGTTTGACGGATAATTTCCTGAACTTATGTATATTGATATAGTATTGTTCTGTTTTTTTTTCTTGACAGCCAATGGCTCTTCAACGACAAGAAATCAAAGATCGCTTGGATGCTGCACCACATAGTAAAACAATTGTCGATTTAGATGAAATCATTGAAAAATGGGTAAGTTGAAAGACATTTCATGCTGTTTTATACATATGAAAAGAGAAATAGAGAACACAGCAGGTGTACATATATAACAATATATGGCTCATAGATTGAATACAATCGAATGATATGAATTGTATAATAAGATGCGACATATTTTATTTTGAATATTTCTGTAGACGTTTGAAAAAACCATTATATCCATTTTTCAAACTGGACGGAAATGTGCTCTCAAAAGATTTTAATAAGGAAACGACATGTCATACTCACTTTATGATGAATGAAATGTTTTATTGGAAATAGGAGATATTAAGAACATATTATATCATGTTCTCTTTCTTAAATCAATTTTAAACCATATATTTAGGAAAAAAGCGATACTATTGTACTATTCATTTATGAGAAAACTTTTTTATTTCAATACTTCGTACTTATTTGATTCGTATAACAGTTGATATTTTAATTGATATTAAAATAATAAACATATCTTTATCGTTTGTCGTGTATTCTTCAAAGTATTAGATAAGAAATTTTCATGAGAACAAATCAAGAATATACATGTGAAGTTAATCGGAAAAGAATTCAATATGTCAAATAGTATGTTTTTTTTTCAGGTATGGAAAATGTGGGAATTATCAAAACGTTCACGAGAAGATTCGAAATATCGTCGTGAAGAACTTGATGTAAAAATAAATTGGAAACGTGTTAATTTTTGGCAATCTGAAGCTGTTTTTGCTCGACCAGCTCAATTACGAATGCCAAAATCTCAAATATTATTTCGAACACATTTTTCAAATAATACTGAAAGTGAACAAGAATATTCATTACGTGCTGAACGTTCAACAATGACAACATTAAATTTTACATTTATGCGTGGTTTTACAAAAGAAAAAGAAGGTTGTGTAACATTTAAATTACCAAATGAAGTTTTAGAAGTTGGTGGTGGTCTTCGACATGAACAACGTGTTGATTATGGAAGAGATTCAACATTTGAAACACAAATGACTTGGTCAGCTGATTCAGCTATTCGTGTTGCACCACATTCAAAAGCTAATGCTGAGTAAAGTTTTTCTCTTGTTTTTTTCTCATATCATTTCATATATTATTTTGATTTTGTATTTTAGATTATGTATTACGGAAGAAGAATATGCAGCTGATTTTTCTATTGAAGTGCGCTTTAGTGGAAGAATATCAGCTATGATTAGTACACGAAATAATACAGGTGGTTATTATAAATATATGGAAGGTGATTTAGCAACAATATTTGCTGATTTATTACGTACAGGTGGCATTGGTACAAGTTCAGGTCAATTTGAGGTTCACGAACAAACACAAACAGTTCGAACAGTAATGACAGGAAAATGTGCATTTCGATATGGAATCGAACAACATGTTAACGTTGAACAAGAAAAATTACCAACTTTACCTTCATCATCAGTAAAAACAAATGAACCGCCACCTAAATATCGACCACTTTTTATTTCGAATAATGCTCATTAAAAGAACTCTTTTTTTTTTTATTGTTGTAGTCACTGTGCTCTGTTTTTCTTGTATATGAAAATGTCCGGTTTCTCTTTTTAGCAAAAAAAAAAAACAAATAACTGTACAATGCATAATATTCGGCAGAAAGGAAAAATTGAAATTAACCACTGACAGATGAATGTACAGTAATCGCAAGTCTTACTGTCGGGTAACAAGTACATAAACGTCTATTTTGACTACAAGTACAGCTCGGTAAACTCTAGTCGTACATAGTAATCCGAAGTTGATAGACCTTAAAGCATAGAATTTACAATGAAAACACTGATTTTTTTGTCTAGAACCCAAAAAGGGCTTTTCTGACACTTCTGATTTTCTCCCTATTTATATGCGTTAACCTTCATTTTCTTATTAGCAAATAAAGATTCGCATGTCTAAATGGTATCACGGGTAAGGTATATCAATTCCTTGTAATCTTGAGGCGTGGCAAAGTTCTTATTGTCTGAAACAATTTCACCATGGATCTGTTCTCTATCAATGGCTGTGATCGTAAAATTATACGTCAGTAATGTTAGCACCAGATTCAAGTTTTTCTTATCCAGATTTGCATCATTACCTGTGTTAAGTCTTTAACAGGCTGCATTAGATGCAGAATTTTATATTCTATCGAATGATTTAGGTTTTCATAGAAGCTAACTAACAAAAAGTGTGGCTTTAGATCAAAATACTGGATCTGGGACCTAGACGGTACTAAAAAAATTGTCTGGATTTGATTGAAGACCTTTGCTGACCTCAAACTATAAGTAACTGATTGAAAATTTCAAGCTGTATTGAATGTATGTCAAATGAGATAGATAGAATGGTTTCATGGTATCGAAATCTTCTAGTTAGTCTTTTTTTCTTTTATGGAAGGTAAAAACTAACTTCATGTTCGATTAATATGTTTGAATGAATCATTGTTATTTTTTTTTTCTTCATTATATTAAATCTGTGTTCTTTTTCTGTCGTTGTAAAGCAGAAAATCTCATTCTTTTTTTGTTATTTATTTTGAATAGAACGAAAATTAATCTATTGCATTTGTATATATTGTTCATTAAATTCTAGATGTCTATGTTGATTAATTTTATCTTTCTATTATTCATTACTATAGTTTATTGTCAAAATATATCTGTCAAATTTCAAACATTTCCAGATGATACTGTTAAATAATGAATAATTATTTTTAGTTTTTATCAATTGATTATGCTCTTTTCGATATTGGCTAATATATATGCGATGTAGCTGAAAACAAATGAGATGTATTATGTTGTTGTGATCCTGTTTGTTCTGCAGGAGATCAAGAATTATTTTCATGTAGTTCGGGGAGTCAAATGAAAACATCTAATGTTGCAGAAAAAAAACAATTTTTGTTATATTGATATGAAGTTTAAAAATCTAATGAGACAGAGTAATAATTCTTAAATAGATGCCATTAACAAAACAAAACAAAATTAGACAGTGTCTTGATCATAACTTTACATTAAAGATAACTATGGCTTTGAATAATCGGCATCAACACTAAGACATGAAACCATGTGTTTCAAAATATATATACGAAACAAAAATCATTGCATAAAACTTGCTCTGATGATCATTGTGATCACATCGTCGACGTTTTATTTGTCTGTCAAAAAGAGTTTTTATATAAAATTCAGTACGAAATATCATTTTGATATATAAATGAAAATTGATGATGAGATTACAATGATGTCGGACAGAAGCTTTATGCATTGGTTTTCTACATATGTTTTGAAACATGACTTTATGTTTTATCGCTGATGTTAACTATTCGAAACAATATTTTTGAATGAAATCATACGTAATAAAAATTTGGAGAATATTCGGTGCAATGATGAAAAGTTCATTGAAATTTTTCAAGATTTCTTGCAGTCAGTGGTGTTCCGAGAGGGTAGGGAAATCATCTCCACTATTCAAAAATTTTCGTTTTTCTCTAGTGAAATTACAAAGTCTGATTCGTAGTTTTGCTCATCAAATGTGTAGAAAAACGCTCGACCCTGCCCTCTTCAATCCTAATGATCTTGAAATCTTCTTGATTAGTTTTATTTCACAGTTGACTTTTTGAATTATCTTATGGATTTTAAACAAAAAAGTACGTAACTTTTACTACACTGAGTTAACTTATCTTTTCTTAACGATAAAGTTTGTTGCAGATTGCGATGAACTTTATATATCATTATCCATATCGCTTGCAAATGATATTTATTTCTTTTCGGCAGGTTGCGAATATTTATCTACTAAAAGTCTAATAAGAGAAAATTTCTATGAGGGCACAATAGACAACTCTAATGAGGTAGGTGGATATGTAACTGTAGTGCTTTGAAATGGGTTTCCAGTACTAAGAAGTGTTTGTATATCACTCTAGAAATCGACTTTACGAAAATAAAGCATTTTTTGAAAAAAAATTTTCGATGTAAAACACCTGAAAGAGATCCTCTAGTGAAGAAGGTACTCATCAATAGCACTCATGCTGGAGTTTGAATATCTGAGTACAACAATCGAGTACTCGCTGAATAATGTTGAATGTTTCGCGAGTACTTCCATGTGATTTTTGTGTACCCTAGTGGCTTACGAAAAATACTTATAGATCTATTTTCTGTTCAATATCGTTGGATTAAATTCGTTTTATTTAAATAAAAAATTAATAACAAAAGACACCCAAGAATATCCAGTGAAAATTTGAGAAAAAATTAAATCTCAGTAATAAACACGTGACTTTGTGTTTATATGTTTTTATGCACAGAATATAGTTATACTTTTTATCTTTAGAAAATAAAGTAAGAGCTAACAAAAAAAAACTTATCAAGGACAGAGCAGTATTAGTAAAAAGAAATGAATAATAAATTTTTCTTGACATTGAAAAATGCGATAACAAATAAACATTCTTTAGAAAAAGGAGATATTTTCAACGCATGTCTATATTTTCATTTAGTAATTTTTAAAATAAAAGAAATGAATTGTCTGTAGTATAATGTACCATCTTCATAATATTAAGTTCTAGTTGATTTGTAAAAAAGTTGTTATTTGTCTTTTTGTTTAATTGATTTTCACAATAAATCTAAAAAACTTTATATAAATTGCGAAGAACATTTTATCTAAAATTTACAAAACTAATTTTATATTCCTAAAAAAGTTTATTTTGTTTTTTTTTAAATGAAATGTTACCTTTTAATAATTGTTGTTCATCCGTTTGAAAGTAAGTGTGTGGATGTACATGAGCAGAGTTCCGTTTCCCATACTAATACCCATAGGCATACTTACAACTGGGCTCTACTAGCTACCTAGTAAAAAAATCATTAATAATTGATATTTATCAATGTGGCTAGTAGAAAGTTTCTGAAGAAATTCGGATCAATGTAAATGCCGTTCAAATCGTGCATTTCTTCAACAACAAATACTAAATTATCATTCGAATGTTTGGGTAGAGAAGAAGAATTTTTACTAATCTTTCGACTCATGGTTATCATAGTGATGATTTAATAGTAACAGTGAGCTATCTATGACTATGTTATTCGCCTTATTTAAGAATTGGACTTCAAGTATCACAATTAAGAGGATGAAGCGAGGTCATTGAACACATTGGATTGCGAAAAGTATTAACTTCTTTTTTTGCACGATTCTGACATCCTATGATAAAGATAATTGATGTTAGAAAAGTGTTTATCTTTGTAAGTGTACTCATAATTTGTTCACTGCGCGTGCTTAGATCTAGTAATACAGTCGTCTGAACGAAAAACAAAAAAAAGAATTTAACTCGAGTTGACTTTAATAAAAAAGAAACATCGAACAGACTCAAATTTGAACCAATGAAACATGATTGAATTCCACATTTGCTCTGAATAATACAAAAGTGATAAAAAATAACACTCATGGTCATTGTTCCATCAACTGTACGAATTACTAATTCCTATGAATTTTGAACACTTATATCTTAGCTAAGTCAGCAATTATTTGTATTATTTCAAAAAAAATTGTCATTATTGGATGCAAGTACTACCATTGAAAAGACAAACTTACAAACAAAAGATATTTGGTTCGACATCTGAGTACAACCAATATATAAAACACGAGAGCATAGTTAACGTATTGATGTACTAAGTTTTGAGATATTCTAAATAATAATATCGTTCAAACCAAAATGAACGGCATGCCTAATATTTTTGAACTATGTCACTGGAAAGCGGAAGCGATAAGAATGAGGAAACACTTTAATATCGTAAAATGAAGCACGCAAACAAATGGAGTTACGTACATATAACATCTATGGGAACATGAATTAATGTATATGGGTGTGGGTACTAGTCTACTCTTCGTTTCCATTCACACCCACACCTCATCCTACGTCAGTTTAAACTTTCGGTATGGTTTAAGCATCTGCTTTTTTTTTTCATTTTTTTTTATCATGAAACAGAGAAGTCAGTTCATTGCCTTTGCTTTTTCTATTTCATTTTTTTACTTGAAGATGTCAGACGTATGAATATATAAAAGTCATGATTAATTAAAAGGTGAATGCAATTTACAAATAATAAGAAAAAAAATACTATTGAAAGAAATATATCTATTCGTGCTTTTTTTTTAATTCAAACATAACGTATAAAATATTTGATTCAGTTTCTTATAAGGACAAACAATAAAACAAAGAGAATAAAAGAACAATGAATTAATCTACAATTAAATAGTGTACTAATCTCATGTTAAATTAACTGAATCCAGATTGGATATGATCTATATTACTGAAAAAAAGTTATTCATTACATAAATAATATGTAAAAGGTGTTAATTTCGTATAAAAAGAAAACTATTGCGTTCTCTATCATTTGATACCGTTTTTTTTAATCAGTTTTAATCCTTGTAATAAATCAGCTTAAGACAGTTTCAGCTCAAAAGTTCAAATCAAGTAAACTAAAGGATTATTGAAAAATCATTTGGATCATAAGTGACTTATGCTAAAATATTGTATTATG